CTCTGGGAGTGCTCCAGCGCCTCAGTGTCTTTCTCATAGCGAGGGGCCCAAAACTGAACACAGTATTCAAGGTGTGGCCTCACCAGTGCCGAGAACAGGGGGACGATCACTTCCCCAGTGCTGCTGGCCACACTCTTTTGGGTATGAGCCAGGATGCTGTTGGGCCCAAATCCAGGAATCAGGGCTTCGTCATGCTGAACCCCTACAGCAGACTTGGCCCATCGCTCCAGCCTGTCCATCTCTCTCTTTAGAGCCATTCTACCCTCCAGCCAATCAACACTCCCACCCAACTTGGCGTCATCTGCAAACTTACTGAGGTGCACTCAATCCCCGAACCCAGACCAAAGAAGCTCCTTCACCCAGCGGTGACCAGGGTTGATGGGCAGGATGCAGCAGCTCAGCTCCTGTGGGAAGCTGCTGGCTTTTGGCAAAACAAGCCCCGTGTGAGACCTCAGGTGTCTGGCACCTGACCGGTACCACGGGATTCAGCAATGCCACTGGCCTGAGGGCAGATGCCCCGGCGCTTGCTCTCAGCCTTACCAGGGGGAACAAAACCACCACTGATGATTTCTCCCACCATACCTGCACAAAAGTATCCAGAGGGTTCAGTCCCCCAAAGAACCACAACACTCTGAATGGCCATACGTAGCTCGTGGGCAATCTCTGCAGTTCGATGGTGACCCCTGAAGGGAGAAGAGAGCAGTTGACTGTCAGAAACTTCAGGCTCGGAGGGCCGGTAGCTGTAGGGAATTGCTAAAGCCTGCCGGCCAGTCCTGTGCCCAGCCCCGTGGCCTCGGAGGCGACACAGTTAAGGAGGAGATCCCCCTGCCCAGTGACAGCATCTCTCTCACAGCCACACAAAGAGACGGTCTGCGGGCACTGGCAGCCTGCAAGCCCACGTGGGAAGGGCAGGGGGCCCAAGCTGAGGGCCCCACTGCATGGAGAGCAAAGGATGACGTGACCATCTGCTATTTTGGTTCCCATAAAGCTCAGTTAAGAGGGAGAGCACAGACATGCTGGCAGGGGCATGCCAGGGGCACCTGTGAGGGGCCCGAGGGCAGGACTGGGGTGAGCCGAAGGGACCTGCTCTGCCACAGGTGCCCTGTTGAGCTCTGTGATTTTGTCTGGTCTCCCCCTGCCTCGAAGTACAGAGTCTGCAGCGCAGTCTCCTTTTGGGAGCACTAAGCAGGAGCCTAGCAAACAAGACATGCCTGCCCGCTGACATACCTGCACTTTTCAGAGCCCAGGCAGACATCAGGACGTTCTCTTCCAAAGGCATCACAGATATCGCTGTTCTCATGTCCAGAAGTTCCTGGGAAAGACAGAAACGCACACAGGAGACCACCACATCAGCAGGCTGTTCAGTGTTACCATGGAGTCCTGGCACAGAGCAAAGTAACAAGCCTGTGTCAGAAAGCGCAAGACAAGCCCTGTCCAAACAGCTGCCAGATTCAAACCCTTCTGATGAGAAGAGCGGGGGCTTGGCAAGAGCGTTTGTGCCCACAGCAACACTGCGGGCGTGGGTCTGGGCCCCACAGTCTCCACGCTGTCCAGCTCAACATGGAGATGGGCTCAGCCCTGCTAGTCCCAGATGCTCCTTGGAGGGCACTTGGGTCTCACTGCTCTCTGGGGCCAGGCCCAGAGAGGCCCCAGCGCACCGGGAGAAGGATTTCAGCAGTCCTCCATAGCCAGACGTTGCCCAGCTAAACGTGGCCAGAGGAAGGGGCTGTATAGCAGAGAAGCTCAACCAGCAACCCCCAGAGGGATGGGTGGGTGGAGTGAGAAGCAAAACCTCACCAGCTGCCCCAGGAAAGCACCCTGTGCAGGGCCCCGTTTATCCCAGCCCTCTTTCCCAAAGTGCAGCCTTACCGACTTCACACGGCTCATCTCTGCAGCAATGCTCGTCAACTCCTTCCTCAGCTCTTGCACTTCCTGGCCCAGCAGAGCAAATGACTTCCTGCAGATACCGGGAAAACACAACCTGTCAGGGAGCTGCTCAGCCCCTCTCAGAGCCTCCAAACTTGCAAATGAGCCGACACACAGGTGCTTGAGCCCCCTTTGCTTTCCCTGCTTTGGGAGTGCTTCCCTTCACCTCCAGCTTTCGCAAAAGGCAAAGAGAGAGGGAAAGGCACGAGCCCTGGGTGCTACGCACGTGACTGCCAACAGCACGAGGCCGGCTCCCACTACCCCACCAAATGGGCCACGGACCAGAAGAGGGCTCTTACCCCGCGGACATCAGCTCGCTCACCGTCTGCTCCAGCAGCACCTGAAAGGGAAAGGCTCTCTTTTGAGTCCCAGAGCTGCCAGGACTTTCTAGAGCTGGTGGCTCTAGGAAGGCACAGCAGAAGC